CAAGTGTAGTTGCCTTCGTCCTGCAGACGCAGCTCTGTGATGCGCAGCGAGCTGTTGTCAACCAGGGAGAAACGGACATCGGGGGGGAAGGCGACCCGCGAGGAGAAGAGTGGGGGGAAAGAGTGCGGATCCCCTTGGAACCAGACCACTTCTGTTGCTTCTTTGGAGACATTTCGGCATAAAAGGAGGATGCTTCCGCCAACCTTCCCAAAGACCACTTCTTCTGTTCCTGCAAAATGGAAGGGAAGGTGTTAGGGATCTAGGGAACCTGCAAAATCCCCTTCCACAGCAAACTTTGCAACAAAGACTCGCACAAATGAATATGTGGTTTTCAGCAACACCAGGCAAATGGTATTCATCAACAGAGGATCCAGCCCTTCCATGCTGTTATGAATAAAAAAGCCATTTGGGGAACCTGCTGAGGTGCTTCATTACCACACCAAAGCCACTCCTCCCTGCCTGCCATCTGTTAACCCATTTCCCTCCCTTGATTTGCCTGCCCGATTTTTGTTCTGGTGGCCCTGAGGCAGGTATCCGGCCCTTGGCTCCAGAAGCCTACACAGCACTCCTTATGGAGCCTCGTCACCTCTGCAAAGGATCTCCACGATGCATTTGGCAACTAGAAATGTTCACGATCAGAAAGAGGAACACGGCTTAGAAGTCTCAGTGGGAAAGCAATGCCAGCTTATTTTTGCCCGGGGAAAGGGGCAAACGGCAAAAGCGACCTGAAGGAACTGGACAGGAGCCGCGTCAGGGCATCGGTGACACTGAATCGGCAACAATGAGAGCCCAGATTCACGGTCGTGGCAATGCTGGTGCTCACCCTGCATTTTGCTGAACCTCTGCCTCCTACTGCCCAAGCAACCTCATCCCTACACTGCCCGGGGAAAGGAACAGTAAGGGAAGAAAAGCCAAAGAACTCAACAAAGCGACTCTAACATCAGTAGCCACAAAGATAACTAAACTCTTGGAGTCTTGGTGGCTTCCTTTTACCTCTGGCAGGCTTCAAGCCCTCCCAGCCACATCCCCTGCCACAGGGGACCTGAACCCGAGAGCAGACGCAGCCTTTTCCGAGGCAAAGGGCAGCGATCAGGCGCGCAGCCTACACCCAGAGGGCTGGCAGCACGGCGATCCCTGCTGGGGCATCTGAGGGTGGGTGGGAATTTGAAAGGGAAGGGGCCAACAGGTGATTTGGCAAGAAGAATAAAAATAAAACATGCTACTGCTGCACCTGAAGCCTCGACCACGCATTCTGCCAGGGCCAAGGCGAGCTGAGCCCTAGCCCCATTGCCACTGCTCTCCATGCGAAGTTGGCTCTAAAATGGGCTAAAACCCCCTAAAACCCCCAGCTCCGCAGCCCCACCGCGACTGGGGCGCTCGTTACTTTTACCAAAAAGTGACTTCTTAGTAATTAAATAAATAAATCAGCCCTTGGGACCCTCTGGAGCCCTACCCACGACTCGGGCTGAGGGACCGGCGGAGCCGCCTCAGCGCTCGCCCACCCGCCGGCCCCCGCTACCTGCAGGCGCCCCGGCGCAGCGCCAGCCTCCAGACGCAGAGGGCGAGGAAGAGCCGGGCCGGCGGCGTCCCGCCGGGGAGCCCCATCGCCCTGAGCCGCCGCCACCGCCTCCCGCTGCCTCTCGGCCCGCCCGGGAGGCGGCTGCCGCCCGGCCTCCGCCCCACGGCTCCGCTCAGGTGCCTGCCCGGTCGCCCCGAGCCCCCTGAGGGGAGCCGACCGGGGGGCCGGCCGCCATTTTGGACGCCCGCCTGCCCCCTCCCGCCATTTTGGGCGCCCCCGGCCCCCTCAGTCCCATTTCCCCGTCCCACAGTGAAACGGGCCGCTGGGCTTTTTTTTGTCATAGAATTCTAAATATCGTAAAAGACCTTCAAGTTCATCTAGTCCAATCACCCCCCTACCACGAATGTCACCCACTAACCCATGTCCCCAAGCACCACGTCCAACCTCTCCCTGAACACCCCCAGGGACGGTGACGCCACCACCTCCCTGGGCAACCTGTCCCAACGCCTGACTGCTGTTTCTGAGAAGAAATGTCTCAATTATTTCTCTTAATTATTTATCAGTTTTTTTGTAAGAGTGCTTTGCAGCAACAGGTGGCTCCCCCAGCAGAAAGAAGGGGCTAGGAGCCACCGGGGGCCCTGGGCAGGAGCAGCAGTGAGCATCTGCTGTGAGAGGACATCAGCTTGGGCACGGGCTGTGTGGTGCTTCGGCAGCAGCAGGCAATGCCCTGAATTCACACTTGGTAAAGGAAGAAATGCAAGGATTGTATGGATAAATCAAGACCTCCTGTCAAGGTATCCTTGGAAGAACGGGAACACAGGCAGTGGAAATCAAACCAATGCATAGAGCAGCGTAACACCAGCAAATTCAGATGTGGTGAAGGCAGGTGCAGCTGTGGGGCACTCCACTGGACTTGCCCCAGTGTATTCCAAGGCTGACTGTTGTCTTGTATTTGCTGTGGTTCCTGTACAGGCAGGACTTCACCTGAAATTGAAAGCCTTCATCATGCCAACCGTATCCTGGGGTGCATCAAGCACGGCATCGCTAGTAGGTCAAGGGAGGTGATTGTCCCGCTCTACTCTGCGCTGGTGTGGCCTCACCTCGAGTACTGTGTGCAGTTCTGGGCACCACAGTATAAAAAGGACATGAAACTGTTGGAGAGTGTCCAGAGGAGGGCTACGAAGATGGTGAAAGGCCTGGAGGGGAAGACGTACGAGGAACGGCTGAGGGCACTGGGCCTGTTCAGCCTGGAGAAGAGGAGGCTGAGGGGAGACCTCATCGCAGTCTACAACTTCCTCGTAAGGGGGTGTCGAGAGGCAGGAGACCTTTTCTCCATTAACACCAGCGACAGGACCCGCGGGAACGGAGTTAAGCTGAGGCAGGGGAAGTTTAGGCTGGACATCAGGAAGGGGTTCTTCACAGAGAGAGTGGTTGCACACTGGAACAGGCTCCCCAGGGAAGTGGTCACTGCACCGAGCCTGACTGAATTTAAGAAGAGATTGGACTGTGCACTTAGTCACATGGTCTGAACTTGGGTAGACCTGTGCGGTGTCAAGAGTTGGACTTGATGATCCTTAAGGGTCCCTTCCAACTCAGGATATTCTATGATTCTATGATTCTATGATCAGCAGGTGAAACAGCCTGTGTGAAGTCAAAGTGAGGTGCTGAAGTAGCCAGTATTTCGCCAGTGTTTTTTGGGGGGTGTCACATAGTGAGCTCAGGTGCAGTCCAGGGATCCATACCAGGAGCATTCAGTGCTATGAGAATGGTGTTTCCAGAAACCAAAACAGGACACCTAACTGATGCCTGAAAGTGAGACCCCCCCACCCAGAGCATGCTCTAGCACCTTCTGTAATGCAACCACTTAAGAAACATCCCAAAAGAAGTAAGGCTGTGAAAAACAGTGATAAAGGACTATGAAGTATACCAAAAACTATATTATTTGGGGATAAAAAATATAATTTGGAAAAAAGAATAGCTCAAACCAGAGCTGTGCAGGAAAGAAGTATAGCAGACAGCAGTGCAGACTGGAAGGAGGCAGCAGATGGAACAGGTAAAAGATGAATTTCTCCGCAGCTGGAGAGATCCAATGGAAACAGAAGCTGCAGGGAACAAGGAAAGAGAAAGGTACGAATATTTTCAGTTTCTTTAAAGCTGACCCTTGGATTCCTATAGTTGAATGCAACAATGTACAGCAAACATGCTGCTAAACTCCAGCAGCAGATGTGTTAGAAGAAATAGTCCCTAGGAACAGGCGGAAGCACCTGCCTGTTTCTCCACCCTGTGGCTGCAGATTTGAAAGACTTAAATAATAAAATAAAAGCTAAAATGCCACTTGCTAGAGCTGAGAGCTGCCTGGGAGAACCTGTCAGTACCACCTTTGTCCTTCTTGCAGCAGTGGTGTTTTGGGTGGGCCCTGGAGGCTCTGCTCAGCTGCCTCCCCTGTCAGGGCAGGAGTGGGAATAACTCCTTGCCCACCGCCCTTCAGCACAGGGCAGCTGCCGACCCAAAACAGCGAGTATCTGGGGCACACTGAGAATGATCCTAGCAACCACCTTCTCTTTCTCATCTCGTCCTGACAGGCGGGAAAGGATATGGGGATTCTTAGTAGGTCACTTAATTAACAAAGCAAATGAGGAGAGAGGAATGAGGCTCAGATAGCTCCATTGTGCTCAGCAGACCAAGGCAGGTGGTATGTGTCCTCACACAGGAGACTGATCCCGAGTGTACGTGGATCAGACTGACCCTGCTGCTCTGTGCCTGCAGAGGAGCTGGGAGCGGGTGTCATTGAAGAGGACTCCTTCTTGTTGAACCAGGGAGGATTTCCAGCACGTATGGCAGCTGAAAACCTACACCTTGAATACAAGGGCTCTGGGCTGATGCCAAAGAAGAGGGTGGCTGGAAGCACGCGTGTTTCCGTAGGGAAGCGTGCGGTCAGTGCCCACGTGCAAAGAGGGAGCCTCCTGCTGCCAGTGGGGGACAAACCTTCCTGTGCCAGGACAGAGGCCTCAGCGGGCAGCAGCATGCAAAGATCGAGCCCTGAAGTGCTCCAGGGCAGGCCAGGGCCAAGGTGGGCTGGGAATAGTGATGCTTTGGGGTTTGATCTGTCTGATGCTCCTGCCCCAACTCAACCCACGTTGTCTCCAGCTGAAACCAGTCTGCTCCATGCAGCCCTGTGGGCTCCTTTGGAAACTTTGCAATGCTCACAGCCCGGCCTGGGGCACCTTGTGCACGCAGGGATCGTGTCCCTGGATCGTGGTTTACAAAGGGACCGGGGGCAGGGGACGGGCCCCGAGCCCTGCCCCACACGGGCGGCCCCCGCCGGGCGCTGCGGCTGCCGCCGGCCTCGAACCCGCGGCCCCGCGGTCCTCGGAGGGGAGGGGGGGGGGGGGAGCGCCCAGCCAGCGGGGGGCGGGACCACGGCGCAGGTTTCCTCCAATGGGAGCGGGGGGCGGGCCGAGAGGCGGCGCTGATTGGGCGGCGCGGCTGTCAGTCACTCGGTCAGGCAGGCAGTCGCCTCAGCGCAGCGCCGAGGAGGGGGCGGCTATGGCGGTGGACCTGGGGCTGTGGAGCGGGCCGCTGAGCCTCACCGAGGTGGAGCAGAAACCCGCGCAGCCCCTGCGGGTCAAGTACGGCTCGGTGGAGATCGACGAGCTGGGCAAGGTGCTGACGCCCACCCAGGTGAGCGGGGGAGGCCCCCAGGGGGTGTGTGTGTGAGGGGGGGGGTGCGCCTGCCCCCCCTGAGGGAGCCACAAAATGGCGGCGAGGCCCCTCCGGGGGAGCAGCGGCCGCGGCCCGCCCTGGCTGGCGGTGGGGGACGCCAGGCTTTGAAGGCTTTGGCAGCACTCGTGGGTGCCGAGCGGCCTTGAACGTTCAGGATCGAGCGTGGCTGGTCACGCCTGGCCGCCGTGCGCGGCGCTGCCGGCTGCTCCCGCTGACGCTGTCGTCGCTGCAGGTGCAGAACCGCCCCACCAGCATCGAGTGGGATGGCTGCGACCCCCAGAAGCTCTACACGCTGGTTCTCACGGACCCCGATGCTCCCAGTAGGAAGGACCCGAAGTTCAGGTAATGGGGGTGGCCCTCTTGGACTGAGCTGAGGCCCAGGAGGAGGTGGGGAGCGTGATCTAGGTTATGGCAGTGGGGCTGGGGATAAGAAATGGCCCTGAATAGGATCAGAGCCCTTGCATCTCTCCTTGAGACAAGGACAGTGTGGGGAAGAGGCGCTGCTTTTGCCAGGGTTATTTGGAGGTCTCCTATACCTTGGAGAAGCGCAGCATTTGCAGCTCACTAACGTGAGCTGTGCGTGAGTTGGAACTAGGTCTCTTCGTGCTAGTAGTAAAATATTAAAGCAGGGACCAGCTCACTTCTGCTACATCAGGCCACTTGGAATCACATGCAGTGCTTGCTCTTATAGGGTCAGACTGTGGGCGTGGTGGAGCCGCCGGGCAGGATAGCAGCTGCCTGCTGGGCTCTGCATCCCGAAGGAGGCAGTTTGTGCTGTGGGCCTGACACCTTTGGGTCTGACCAACCAGGAGCAGCAGTGGTTAGCTTCAGTTACCTATTCTGACAATTCTGGGGGAAAACAGCTGCTCAGAGCAAGGAAGGGTCTTACCCGAGGGCTGTGACGCAGCCTGACTCCTTCTTGCTGTCTCCTGTCAGGGAATGGCATCACTTCCTGGTGACCAACATGAAAGGCAACGACGTGGGGAGCGGGACCGTGCTGTCAGACTACGTCGGGTCAGGACCCCCCAAAGGAACAGGTCAGTACCCGGCTGCAGTTAGGGGGAGCTGAGCCTGGCCGTGCTGCGAGGAAGCAGATGCAGTGCTCAGGGCACAGCCTGTGGCTACACAAACCTCGTGTGGTGCCGCAGGGGCAGCCCCAGGGGGCCTGCCTGTAGCCAGCCCTAATCACGGTGCCCTTTGGACATTGGGTGATGGATCCATGCCCTGCCTGAATTCAGTAGCTGGGGCAGGGGGAGCGCAGCTTAGGGCCAACGTGAGTCCTTCACACACCTCTTGTACATCGTTAAGCTCCTTTAGCTCACACTTATCCTGAGAACAATGGCAGCAGCTGCCAGCGTGCCCCAGGTGGACGCAGGCTTGTTCCCTGAGCAGCTGGGGTCGCTTCAAAGCCACCCTTAAACCCCAGAACTGCAAGTGAGGTGTGCTTGTCGTGCTGTCTCCTCCCCGCAGGGCTGCACCGGTACGTGTGGCTGGTGTACGAGCAGCCGAAGCAGCTGAAGTGCGACGAGCCCATCCTGTCCAACCGCTCCGGCGACAAGCGAGGGAAGTTCAAGGTGGCGGCTTTCCGCAGCAAGTACAACCTGGGGGTGCCGGTGGCCGGCACCTGCTACCAGGCGGAGTGGGACGACTACGTGCCGAAGCTCTACGAGCAGCTGTCCGGGAAGTAGGGAGCAGGCACCGCATGAGCACCGCGTGGCACCCCCGACCCCCCCAGAGCCCACTCAAAGCACCTCGCTGTTGTTCTGTTCGCCTGTGAGTTGAACCCGGCTGCTCCCGCACTGACCTGAGCTGAGCCATGACCTCGCTGCCGTCCACGAGCTGAATCCGCCTTGGTGTTGGCATGGTCCGGACTTGTGCTGTGCTCGTTGCTGTAGGCGCAGCCTGTAGCTAGCCCAAAAAGCTTCCGAAAAGGCAAGGGGCAGCCCCTCTGGGCTGACCTGCTCGGGGGAAGTCAAACCCTGTGAACCGCTGCCACTCGGAGCGGCCCTGCTGTGCTGACGGCACTGCTGTGGGTGCAGAACCACTCCTGGTTGCTGCTGGCTGTGCAGCCGTCCCCTTCCAGGAGGGGAGAAGGCAGCAGGCAGAGGGAAGCTGCTTGTTTTTGTTTTTTTTTCCCTCAAGTATTTGCCAATGAGGTGAACCACTGAAGTCATTACTTTAAAGATAACGAGTAGAATGAGGTGGGGAAGCTGCTTACCTTCTGATTCTCTGTTCTCTTCTGATCTCTGTAGCCCCTCGAAGCAGAGCGGCTTTGTTTTGTCCGTGTTCTGTTGTGACCAATGCGTGCTCACGGTGCAATTAAACACTTACCCAGGCGGGCGGTGTGCTTGTGTCCTTGGGGAGCAGGGGAGTGCTGGCAACTCGTCGCGGCGCCCTTCCTTCCTCTGTTCCTTCCCCTCCCGGTGCGGAGGCGAGGCTGGAGCCCTGCGAGGGGAGCTCCACGTGGGCAGCGCTGCCTGAAACACACACATCGAGCCTAGAAGATAAAATGCTGATGTTTTAGGAACGGAGCTCAAGGCAGGCACATTCCTCATAGCCAGGACAGTGTCACTTACCCCCGAACACCTCCACCACTAAACCCTTTGCGTTCCTTGCTGCTCCTGGGGCAGCGCTTGCTCACGGGGTCCCCGTTTAATCGCAGCTGTCACCTCCTGTGCTGGGCACCGCCACTTGGCACCTGGGGGCGCTCCCCTTCCCCGCCGGGCTGCGGTTGTGCTGCTCCTGCAGCCTGCAGGGGGCGAGGCCTGGCGGGGCTTCCTCTGCACTCAGAAAATGAAGCACAGCTCACGGCTGTCTTTAGATGTGAAGAAATGAAGCGAATGTGATTCTGCTTCACAGCACTAGAAGCCTTCCCCTTCTTTTAACTTATTTTCTCAAAGGTACTGTTTTTTGAGGAGTGTGTGAAACACTTTACAAACCTCAAAATGCTGCAGCAATGCCCCGTAAATATCAGTTACCTTGTACTTCTAAAGACATGAGCACACCTTGTGTGACTGGAGGCTGCAGGTACGCACGCAGCTGTGCTATGCCACCACCACAACCCTGGGATAGCTCCTATGCACAGGGCCAGCAAAGAAAAAAGTGAGGAGTGACAGTTCTTCAAGGAAACACCCCAAATAAAGACCAAGATCCACAAAACACACAGGTGGAGAGGAGGTGCCCCAAGACCTGCATTACCTGGTGCTTGGTGAGGGCTGGTTCACAGCCCGGGACTTCTCAGGCTGGAAGAAAGGCAAAAAAGCTGAGAGCAGAACCCGTTAGTTGGCACAAACACCTCCCCTGCCCCAAAAAACGGCTTCGGGGCAGCCCAGGAGCTCCCCCACCAGCGGTTCCTGCGGCAGCTTCCCCGCAGGGGCAGCCCCAGAGCCCTTCCCGCAATGAGACAGCGAGGCGTTGTGATGAACACTTTTATTTACAAATATAATTAAAAGCTCTGACAGTTATTCATGCTCTTCCTTTGAACCTGAAAAATGTTTTTTTGTTCTTTTGTTGTTTTTTTTTCTTTTTTTTTTTTTAAAGTGCATGCAAAAGAAGTAAAGCCTTTTTTTTTTAATCTTTTTATTGTAAGAAAATACACAGTTTGAAAGTGTGAATAATGCAATATTTATGACCGAGATCATGGGGTTGGGGGTGGACTCGGGGGAGGAACAAAAGAAACAACAAAAAAAAAAGAAAAGAAAGGGCTCAGGATGATCTGACAGACAGTGTTGAACTCCAAGTACTGAACCGGAAAGTGGGCGGGGTGGCAGGGAGCAGGAGGGAAGGGGGGAAAGAAGTAAAAAAATTTTTGATCAGAGAAACAGTTAAAATACAATATGAAAATAAGTAAAAGCTCTCCTTAAATTCCTTCTATACACAAAATACACGATTTGACAAAGCCCAATTTGTGCTACTGGGATCCTGTGGGCTCATTTAAGTGTATTCACATTCTCTGCGACAGCAGAAAATGATTATGATACAATCAAGAATATGCCGAGGACCGAGGTCTAATCCCCGCCTCGCCTGGCATGGTTCTTCTAAAAATCACCAGATCTTTGCCCCGCCCCTCCCCACCCCCAAAAAAGTAATAATATGTCACCACTGATATGTACATCACGATTAAGTTTTTTTTTCTGTAAAATGTATCAAATTTCTCAATCTTTAATAAAATTTTTTTATTATTTAATTATTCCTGATGAATAAATACCAAAAAAATAAAAATAAAATAAAATAATGCAGCAGCTAGTTAAGGTAAGGCTGCGGATTTAGTCTCTCTCCCCCTGGGTTTGTATATAGCATTTGAGGATTTTTTTTTTGCTTTGTACTTTCGTAGATTGGTGGTAAAAATGAGTGATTGCTCAAAAGCAACATACATCCACTTTTTTTTTTTTTCCATTAAAATTGTCTCCAAAGTTTTCACTGAAACATTTTTAATCATTGCACAGAGACATCAATACTGTGACATACTATGGAAAAGACCGCCAGGAGCTGTCCTGCACCGGGACTTGACACAGGGGGAAAGGGGGCCCCTGATGGAGTAAGAATATACAGGCACTAGTCCGACACGATGTCAGTAAGAGAGACAGAAAGAGAGAGAGCACGCCCGTTAACATGGGGAATGTTGGTTTTGCAAGTTTCGTCATTATTTTGTTTGCTTTTTATCTTTGTTGTTGCTAAATGGCAAAGAAATTTAATCTCATCTATAGTCCTCCTTGGGATATTCTAATGTGACCAAATTCCCAAAGCCCATTCGCAAGCTCTCCATGTCAAACGTTTCAATCTCTCGCTCCTGCCTTTCCAACAGAAACTTTATCCTCTCGCTGCGTTCCTTCTGGAGGGCGGCTAGCTCCTCTTCGATCTGCAAGAAGCACAGGCAGCAGCCCCTCAGGGCATGGCGCGGCAGCTCCCGGTCGGGCCCTGACCCCACACGAGAGGGGTACGTGCTGACGGGAACCCCCTAACAGTCCCCCCTGGTGCCTACCTTTTGCTCCAGATGTGCTCTGCGCAGCGACACCCGTTGCTCCAGCTTCTGGAGTTCTCTTTCATGCTGTGCTTCTGTCTGCATCTTAATTTTGCTCTGGTACGCGTTGAGGAGCTCCATCTCCTGCTGGAGTTGCAGTCTCAGGGCTTGGCATTCCGCTTCTTGAGCCTCGTCCAGCCGGAGCTGTAAGGGGGAAGAACACCGCGTGCTGCACGGACTGACGGCCCGACTGCCCCCACGCCGCCAGCCCGGGGGCAGGAGGAGCCTCACGCTGCACCTACCGCCTGCGAGGCCATCATCTCGTTGATGCTCTGCTCGTACTGCTCTGCCAGGATGGCGAGCTTCCTCGTCTGCTCGTCCTTCAGGCTCTTCAAAATTGTCTTGTGCTCACTCTTTGGAGTTACTTCCAGCTGGTGATTCTTCAGTGCTTTGTACTGCTTAGTTTGCACTTTGCACGTGTCCTGGAACTGCTTTTTGATCTGCATTTCCATGGCCTGCCAAGGAAGGAATGATGTGAAGAGCACGAAGGGCTTTGGGAACGGGGAGGTTGTAGTGCACCCGAAAGGAGAGCCACAGCTGCCCGTGCTCTGAGCCACCTCCTGCCCCTGCACCCGGCCGGGAGCTGCTCCATTCATGCAGCGACCTAACGAGCAGTGCCAGCTCCAGGCCCTGTTGGGGTGCTGCTGACCACAGGCCTGGGCCAGCAGCAGGACTGATGAAACCCTCCTGAGCTATTTCCACCTTCTGCCACTGCTTCCCGCAGCTCGCCCAGCCCATCGCCTTGCCACCTGCCTCCCAAAACGCAGGGCGGCCTTGCTCTTAAAGGCCTCCCGTTCTCACACCCAGAAACGCCTCCACCAGTTGCCTCCCTCACCACAACCACACCACGTGGAGACAGCAGAGCTGGCAGCTAGCGAGAGTGGGACCAGACAGATAAAAGCTCTGTGCTGCCTTTTTTAAGGCATCCCGCGGAGGAGCAGTAATCTCCCAGGGCAGCTCAGAGGTTTCTAACCAACCCGCAGCTGGGCTAGGACAGAGCACTGCTCAGCACACCCAGGTTCTCTCCCTCCATAACCTTTGAAAGCGAGGAAGCATCAGCCAGCCCCTTCCCACATCGAGGTCTGTAGGCTGACACAAGCAAGGGCATGCAGACAGCACAGCTCATCCATCAGAAGCAAGTTCTGTCATGCTGGGTTGAGGACTAGCCTGGTTTTACCCAGCAGCCTCAATCAGCACAGCACTTAAAAAAAGAAAATAAAATCCTCGTTGAGCTCATTGCTACAGTGGCTTGCAACTTCCTTACACCAACCAGCTCTGAGCAAAGGAAAGCGACGCAGAGGAGAGCTCGGAGAGCTGGTGGAGAACGCTGGCTCCACGGTGTGGGTGCTGTGAGAGGAGCAGCAGGAGCACAGCCTGCCCGCACAGCAAGCATGGCGGGGCAGAGGGTGGAAGAGGAGGAAGGAAAGCTTCCAGCACCTTCAGGTTCTTTGGTTGCTGCCGGAGCTCCATGAAATGCTTCCTGTGCAGCTCCCGCTCTCGCCGCTTGTTGTACTCCAGCTGGTTCTCGAGCTCAGTCTGGTGCTGCAGCCGGATCAGGTCCATTCGCAGCTTCTGCAGCGTGTGCAGCTGCCTGTACTCCAGCTCGCGCGTCGACTCGTCGTGCCGGATCAGCATGGCGTGCTCCATTTCTTTCTGGGTCCGCTTCTTGTTTAACTCCTGCACAAGAGGACAGCAGAGCACAAGACAGAAGTTGAATTTGCAAGGCCGGGTGCCCTGGTCACTCCTTTAGACAGCTTCTATGACTTTTACATGCCACAGAAAAACCCGAAACCAGCAGCACGATGGGAATGGTAACAAAGCAGCCACCCAGCACCCCTGTTACTGCTCCTCTGCCAGCTCCCAGGTCCCCTGGTGAGTCTCCAGCAGGTGGCACTGGGGCCACACAAGAGCCGCCTGCATCTGCTGAGAGCCCTGAGGTTTTTAATTCATCCCTGGGTGCTCCAAGCTGGGGTGACTGACAGCAACATGCAGAATTAGGTATTTTCTGTTTTAAATTTAAATCTCCGCTAGACACAGAGATATGAAGCTTCTTATTCATCACTAATACTAGAATGGCCAAAGCGGGGGAGAACAGCTCCAACATAGATTTGTTTTTTCTTAGCCAGTCTGCCACCACACACAAGTAATTTTTGGCCCCAGGTGCAGCATCTTTTTGTAGAATTAAAACATATTCCAAGTTTCATGCTACTTCACAACATGTACGTAATTGTTCCTCCACACAGAGCCCTACGGTCTAGGGAAACCTTCACCACGTCGCCGACCAAGGAAGGGGATGATGAGTGATTCTCTCCCTGAT